ACACATTCTATTTAGTAAAAAGTCTCTAAAAAATGCATGTGTTATTGAATTCAGAGCTGTCCTTTCCCTAGACCCTCCCCAGTGAGAGTTCGTATTTAAGTACCGGTGGAGAAGAGATGGATTTATAACTTACCCAATGGTATTTTTGAATTTAACTAACCTGGTTTTCGAACTCCAGAAAGAGACAACACCACGCCGCCGACTCCACGCCGCCGACTCCACGCCGCCGACTCAGCGCCGGGACAAATCAGGACTGAAACAACTCAGGACCGAGACAACTAAGCACCAGAAAAAACGTTATTTTTCATAACCAAATGAAAGAAATTTATTAGGGATTAAAACCTGAATTCGTGAATACTTTTCTTCAAATTAGGCATTTAAAAAAGCATTGTATGAAATATGAATTTTTAAAAAAATTATTTTAATAAAGAAAAATGGTAAAGAAGTTCATTTTTATAAAGTAAATTGTAAAGAAGTTTACTTTTAATAAAATAAATTGTAAATAAATCTATTTTTTTAAATTGTTCATTATTAAATTATTTTCATAAAAATTTTTTTAGAATGTCTGTTTACTTTGTTAAAAATAAATTACATTACGATTTACTTTACTAAAAATAATTAGAAACAAGTGTGTTTTATTGAATTAATTTTATGTCAATTTATATTAGTAAAAATAAATTTATTTACTTTATAGTAAAAAAACGAACAAACAACCAGTTCCTATTTTACATAATGCCTTTTCAAATGACTTATTGAAAGAACATATTCAATAATTAATGTTTTAAGCTTTAATAAATTACTTTTATTCAGTTGTAAATAAGTTTTATTTTTGGTGCTGAGTTGTCTCGGTCCTGAGTTGTCCCGGCGCTGAGTCGTCGGTGTTGGTTCGGCTGTGTTGAGTTGTCCTGCAACCTTCGAACTAGGTTTGACGATTTCGCCTTTTATCCATTAACAATTTAACTATTTATATTTACTTATGTTTATCTGCAATTAAAATGGAATGGATTATTTACTAAAAGATTCAAAAAGTTGTTAATCTGTACGAATTGCAAACTAAAAACGATGAAACGGTATATTACGTTTTACGGAAAATAATTCGAGAATGAATGTATGTAAGCAGTGTTTAAATAAATCAAAATATAAACCCTGAAAATCTATTTATGCCTTTTCGATAAAACTGGAAAGGTTTTGCACGCCCCCATCCTAATAAAATTGAATTACGTTTCTGCGTCTACTTTGCAACAGAATGTATTTGGCTTAACAAATTCTCAAGATATTTGAAAAAGTGGTAGTCAGCAGGCGGAAAATCAGAAGAATATGGCGCACGTGACAAACCCACATATCCCATATGGGTGTGCTTCTACAGCGACATCTAGTCAATAATTGGCTGAACTTCATTATTGGAAAGTTTGACACCCCCCCCCACACACATATATATATATATATATATATATATATATATAAAGTAAGAAGTAGTTTATTTCAGAAAATAATTTGGTACACGCTTGAGAACACAGACTTATTTAATAAACATTTAATCGTTATCTGCTCTCCCTCAGTAAGAGAGAGTGCTGTTTAAATTGTCTTAGATCAGTCCATCTTGTGGGGGTGTTCAGCTACTCCACAACATTCTCTTTTTTTTTTTAATTGACTACTTCCTCTGGCTAGCTGAAGTTCAGGTGGTTAGGCAGCAGGCGTTGGCCGATGGTCAGCACTTAGCTGTTGTTGAACTATTGCCTTTGTGAAGAGAGAAACTCAGGCGAGTCTATGCCGAAAGGCAGAGTTTCATCCGGGGGTGCTAGACAGACCCGACCCCGTTTATGCGGGGTTTAGGGGGAATATTTGGCTGAGCTTACGGGCTCGTATTTGTCTCACATTAAACTCGGCTTTGTGCCACATCCTACCTCGCGGGGATGTCGGTTACTTCCTATGGTAGACGTCCTTTTTACTTTTGTTCAAATAGCGTTTTCAGATGTTGATTGCCAGTTGCAGATGGCCGTCTCAACCATCCTGCTCTTCAAGACTCCTATGAGCACTATGGAACTTCAGAAAGGGGCGTTCACCCCGGGTCTCTGTTAAAGTTGGTAGCAGCATTAATATGAAGATTTAAACCATGAAAAAATTTAAACGCATCTCATCCGATTTTCATATTCAAGACGTGTTGACATAAGTTTAAATATGTAATACCGACAAAGAGAATAAATAATCATTAGGAATGAATAATATATTTTTGTGCAACTATTACGATGATATATATTGGCACGTAATTAAAATAGTTATTCTGAATTCGGACATTCTTTCCAGAACAACCTAATATAAATATAAAGTATATTGGCGAACAATAATAAAATAATCACATTGTCTGATAAAGGTGAAGTTACAGAAATTAGAAACATGAACAAAGCGCGAAAAAATGTCAATTCTTCTAGCAGATAATAAATCTTATGAAAACACACACACAACACCAGTAAACGAAGAAGCTGAAATATTTAGAAATTCCTATAAAAATAAGATTAAAAAGCAATAAAATATGGTCGACCTGCATATAATCCCACTCGAATGTGCCCACGTTATATGGTCTGCTAAAAATGTGCCCACGTCATATGGTCTGCTAAAAATGTGCCCACGTCATATGGTCTGCTAAAAATGTGCCCACGTCATATGGTCTGCTAAAAATGTGCCCACGTCATATGGTCTGCTAAAAATACATAAAATTGTTATTCCAATTCCACTAATAGTTTCTAGAATTAAAAACCCATTCACAAAATTTCCAGAGCTATGAAAATATATATATATATATAACAACACTGCTTGGTATTATATGTTGAACAACTCTAAAGAATATTTAATTACGAGCGCTGACAAACATTTAAAATAATTGTTCGATGAAAGCATCAAATATTTGATTGAAAGACAAGATCGATCGATTAATATATATATATATATATATATATATATATATATATATATATATATATGTGAAAAGTGAATATAAATATAAATAAATATATATATATGTATAATTATTTATATATTATATGCGCGGTACTTATTAGAAAGCGCTCAATATCAGAGATAGAGCTAACATATATATATATATATGAACAGACTAAGATCGGTCGATTATCAGATATAGACAGAGATTGATCGATTAATAGATATAAACCGAAATAGATCGATCGATTAGTCGATATAAATAGACTAAGGTCGATCGATACAAAGCAAAAGAAGGAAAATGGCAAGGAAACGAAATTTTCTGAACAGACAAGACGACTCATTGTAAGGTAAGTTATAAAAAATCCACCCCAAAGTAGTTCGAAAAATGTCCATAAATCTGAATGAGTAAATTTCCACAAGTACGTAGTTAGCCAGTTACAGCAATTATCGACATCTTCCTTCATATGGTACCGGTGCGAGATAAGTTGGAATCGTATTTTCAATAAACGTCATGAAGAAATCAAATGTCAGAAGTGAAAGATGATCGCCAGATCTCGGCCAGATATACAAAATATCACATCTGAGTAGACGGAATGCTTTTGGTACTTGATGACCCGAACTACTACCGCAATTTCTGTGCTGATCTATGACGATAAATCCAATTAAGACCCAAATAACAAGAGATGCTTGTAGACAAATTGTCCCAGAAGCTACCAATCAACTGAAAAGCAAGGGTCAAAAGTTCACCTTTATGCAAGACAATGCAAGTTTTCGTTCCACAAAGAAAATCGTTTCGTATATAATAATAACAGTTCAGTTATAATTAATACCTTTTCTTGTTTCCAAGCCTGATTACAACAAAAGACCAATATATTGCCAGCAGTCAATATTCCATTCCTTGAAAACTGAAAGAGGTTATCATGGTCGCAGGTGAGAAAATCCCTTAATTTATGAACGTTAAACTGGTAAACTCCGGCAGATTGTGCTAGACACGTTTGAAGGCAAAATGTTCAGTCATATATTATTAATATCTTTCGTTTTTATAATTATATTTTTATAAATAAAATTGACCAAAACCTGTCATGACTTCAATGGGAATTGTCACTATAAAAGACAATTCTGATTATTACTTCATTTTTCGAACATTTCAAGAATTGGTTTTGTCATTTTATTGACTGACTAGCAGTAGAGCCCGGCGTTGCCCGGGGATGTAACAGCAAGAGATAGATCAAGTATCGACCATCATAAAGACTGAAAATAAAATTGACAAAGATTATTGTTTAAGGTTGATGGACACGCATGTCTTAATTAGTTTTTTTTTCAATCGTTATGAGTCTATCGATTGAATAGAATTTTATTATAAACAATTGTCTTGTAAATGGAATTTTTAAAGCATTCTGAATGTAAAAATAAAGAAAAAAGTGTGCAAGACAATAACAAACACTACCTGCCAAAAGAAAATGAAGTTTTGTTGAAATCGGTTGAAAAATGTAGGAAATCCGATCCCATATATAAACGAACACACACAAACAACCTGGGTTTTATAATAAGTATAACTAGATATGAGTTGTCCTCCTTTCATTCTGGCGACAGAATCGTGTTTTATCGTGTTTTCAAATTAATTTCGTGCAAAAACAATTGTGTTTTTCCAAATTTTGGCGCTGTCAGAACCACCGCAAGTTAATTTTACGCAGTCCTGTGAAATTTTGTTGAAATCAGTTGAAAAATGTAGGAAATCCAATCAAATATATAAACGTACACACACACACACACACAATCGGTGTTTTATAATAAGATTAATATATTATTACTTATCTAACATTTTTCACTGACGCTATGATGTCGGTTTTGTTTGACTAGTGTTTGATGATAAAGGCAGAAAATATTTTTAGATTGTAAGATTTTTCCGAGATAATAATGATTTATTGGTACTATCCCTACTAATTAACCCATAGGTAGAGGAGAAGAGGTTAATTCATACCTTTCCCAAGGGTATATGCACGGAGATGAACTCTGATTACCAATTCCGAGCCGTTATTCATTCAACCATCCACACATCCAAGCTTACAGCACCTGGTATTCTCAAACGGTCACCTATCTAGATACTAACCAGGCTCGACGTTGCTTAACTTTGATTATCGTATAAGAGACGGGGGTCTCAACTCGACATGGCCGTGAGACGTTTTCTGCTATAATCATTTTATTGCCGGCCGCACCGAAGATGGCATTAGAGTGCTGGATTGAAGTTCCCTCTGATGTTTCGTTGTCTTTCGTTCAAATGTCCTTGGAAAGGCATGGATCCTAACCTTGCCCTCAAGCTAGGAGTAAACAGCAGGCTAGACTGGGGCCTCTTTCCTTGGGTGCCTACTAGTCTAGAATAAGGATTCGTCCATCCTTAGACTATTGCTGCCACACATGTTCCGATGACCCGCTATTTACCTTGAGATCCTTGATAAAATCCAAAGAAGAATCAGAAATATTATCGGTCCTGATCTGCCAGCTCGCCTTCAGTCACTTTCCATTGGAGTAAGGTTGCCTCTGCTTCTTTTCTATAAATATTTTCGTGATAATTCTTCGCTATGGTGCCTAGATTCTTTGACTTTAAGCTCAGTACTTCATTCTGACTTCATGGTTTTCATCCAACTTTAATCATCAAAGATTTGAATACAATGTCAATCGCTATCTACTGTCCTCCTGATTTCCTCTTCCCGCTCATTCTAAATGTTTGTGTTCCGCATTCTTCAACAGATCTTGTCTTAGGGCTTTACTTCATGCTTGGCACGAAATCGATTAAAAAAATATTTGGTAATTCAAAGTCTGATTGAAGAGGAATGGGTTCTCTCAGCTTATCTTGCCCAGATACACGACTGCTGCTATAGCTGCAGTATATATGGTTCCCCTAAGAATGTAAAAGATTACGGAACTCCTGAGTAAGATAATATCGATATCTATCTATCTATCTATCTATCTATCTATCTATCTATCTATCTATCTCTCTCTCTCTCTCTCTCTCTCTATATATATATATATATATATATATATATATATATATATATATATAATTTAAAAGGATCAAGCACTAATATTTCATGGTTATAATTTATTACATTGAAATCGTAATCACGATCAATTCATCAGACCTACAAATTCAAAAGAAAAAAAAGAAGCTTTTTTGAATTTGTAGGTCTGATGAATTGGATCGTAATTAAGATTCCAATGTAATAGATTATAACCATGGTATATTAGTGTTTAAGTCTTTTATATTATATTCTTACTCTGTCCTGGACATTGATTTCTACTTGGATTCTATCCTCTTGGGAATTTATCTATATAAATATGTATGTATGTATGTATGTATGTATATATATATATATATATATATATATATATATATATATATATATATATATATGTTGATCACTAATATTATTCTCTCTCTATCTCTCGCTCTCCTCTCTCTCTATATATATATTTATATATATATGTGTGTGTGTGTGTGTGTATATAGTCACCGAGGAAATTCGAAATTATTCGTACAACGATCAGTTTTGAATATTTTATCTAATTTTCAGAATCTTTCCAGCAAGATAATGATCCCAAGCATACGTCTAAATCGGTGACTGCGTGGATTCAGAAAAAGAAGATTACAGTTCTGCCATGGTCTTCAATGATTCCTGACTTGAATCCTGTTTAAAATCTATGACAAGAATTGAAAGTTCGAATAAATTGTCGGCCACAGAAAAAAAGAACAACTTCATGTATTAGAACATGTAACCATTGAAGAAAATACAAGAAAAGGATTGTTCAAATCTCATCAAATCCTCTAGAAAACGATTGCAGCAATTTGTAATTATGAGAGATCATGTTATTGACCATTAATTTTGTAACAATTGCAAAAAAAATTCTATTTTCTTTACTGTACGAATAATATTGTTTTTTTTCTAATTTTGCATAATTCGCCTGTCAAATCTGTTGTATTTAAGCTATTGTTCTGAAAATTGAGTTTTATATTCTATATAAAATACCTGGTATCATACGGGCATTAAATTTTGAGAAATGGATCAAATTATTCAAAATTTGTGGGTGTACGAATAATTTCGTTGTTGACTGTACATATATGTATAACAGCAAAATTGTCCAAATCGGGTAACAGCATAATTGTTCATCCCTCAAAATGTTTAATATCTAAAAAAAAAAAAAGGCATTAATCTAATCAATTTTCTCTTTTACAGATTTTCAGGTAATAAGTTTAGCCATTTTGACACCATTTATCGTAAGAATCACTGAAAGACCATTTGAGTTATACAGCTAGAAAGAGAACTGCTTTAAATCGTTTTGTATCAGCCTCACTCTTATCTCAAATGATCAAATGTGAGAGGAAAAAAATCATTCAAGCCTTCAGTAATAGTACCAACATTCATAGTCTGGTTTCCATGTTTAAAGTCCATTCAAGAACAATCAATAGAACGGTGAATAAGTTTTAAAAAGAGGGAACAGTAGAGAGGAAACTTGGATTAGGTGGTTACAACAGGAATAGGGATTATCATTTCAACTTAGAGCTAAAGAGATTAATTAGAAAAGATCCAACTCAATTAAAAAACGTTTAGCACGCGATAAAGGATTTTCAGCTATGAAAGAAAAGTGAAAAAAAAAATCTTGAAGAAGAAATCGTACGAGAAAAGTGTGAGGCACCTTGTTAAACAAGGACAGGAAGTTAGAACGTTAGAGAGAACAAAGATAATCTTGATGAGTTGGAAAATGATCCTGGAATGATATATGTATATACATTCGAACTTCATTTCAATACTTCATGAACTACCGATCCGTGCTATGATTAATTCACAATGAACATGACATTTTCATTTATGATGGTTTTATCACCAGTCTAATAATATACAAAGCCTCGGAGAATTCCAGTAAGATATCTTTAATCATCTCTAAGATACACCGTTGAAATCTTGATCTAACATTGAACAATTTTGCTGTTACACCCGGCATATATATATATATATATATATATATATATATATATATATATATATATATATATATTGTTATGGTCCGGTTCCTTGTACCACGGTGATAGTCCAAGGTAGAACCAATAAAGAAGAACACGAACACAGGTATGGAATAACACAGATATATTACCAACAAAATATATACAGAGAAGTAGAAGTGTTAGTATGAACAATCAGGTTTAGTAGAGAGAACAATGTAGTCTCGAACAGTATCACTATTCCAATGTCTTGCAGTAATTGTCTGAACGCGACTCTGTTTCGGACTGCCTCTGACTCGACTCTTGACTCCACTTGAACTACTGACTGACAATATTCAGTCACCCCCACCACGAGGGTGTCATGTGGCACAAGGCCTTTTTAACTTGGGCATTCCCGAGCCATTAGGCTCGGCCAAAAAATAGCCCATTTGAACCCGTATAAACGGGTTCAGGGTCGGTTTTACCTCCCCGAAGGAGACTCCGCCCTTCGGCGTAGCCTCCTTCGGGTTCCTCCCGCCCGTAGGAAGAGAGTCCAAACCGAGTAGTCGGTTCAAAAGTGAACTACTGACTTACCCCCACCTACTGACTGAGGCGCAGTATTTATTAAGTATGGAATAGCCCATTATTATTATTATGGGTAAGATCCCATTCTGAATTCCCATAAAAGAGCAAGACAGGGAAACCAGATTTTTCTTACGACCCTTTGGCGTGTCACTAGGAAAGGCTTGCGAATGACATCCTACAAACTACAAAAAACAATTGCAATAATTAAAATCTGGAAATCCAAAATTTCGGGTCCAGATCCTGCCCGGAATATTTTAATTTTCTCACGGGGTCGGGCCAATTCCAAACTGGTATTATACGTTGTTCTACGAGTAAAATTGAAAACATGTGAGGCAGACTTTTTTACTTTCCAGACATGTAAATACAAAAGGGACATCTTACAAAAGAGCACATCAAATGCTTTGGTTGCCCACCTACAGTTTTGACCTAAAAAATGATATTGGAATCAAATAAGAAAACAATTCACTACGATGAAAATGATCGCAAGATCATCTACAGTAAATTGCGCCTTGGCTCTTACAACGTTTCACAATTCCTGACAGAACTTCTAATATCACAGTGTGGGATATTGACTAAAAAAAGTGATAGAACGAAAAAGAATCTAAATGAATTCGGCTAGATTAAAAAAAAAAATAAAAACATTTAAAATTTAAAATCCCCTAGCACTCCTTGTTCTTGCGCATGCGTAGCCGCAGCAACATAACAAATTTTCTCCAATGAAGTGTTAAAGGACGAAACACGTCACAAGAATTATTTTTCTCGTTTGTCATATATTTTTCTCCAAGATATATATATATATATATATATATATATATTGAGAGAGAGATTTTAAGACATTTTTTATGTTTGTACGTTCTTTTTTTATAGATACAAATATTTAAGTAAATGGTCTGTTTATAATAAACAGTATTAACGACATTTACCGGCCTGAATGCCCGAGAAATTTTCATAAAAAATACGCGTCCTCTGACAGGAATCGAACCTGTATCCTATACGGAACCGTCATATAGACTGAACTGCTTTACCGATTTAGCCACAGAGAATACAAAAACGAACGTATAAACATAAAAATATGTCTTAAAATATTTGTCCATACATACAGTGCTGTTCGATAAAAGTGACTCACCTGATTTTTTTTTACTAAAACTATTTTTGTATATTGTTTTTGGGGTTAAAATAATTTTTAATGTTACTAATATAAAGACCCCTTCCCGACCACCTAGTAAAAAAATTACTCACCCTAAGGTATTCTATTGATAATTATAATTTTGGATATAAATAAGATTTAGGGAAAAACTCCGTGCCAAAAAAGTGACTGGCTTATTTCCTGCAACTAGTAATCAATAGAAACATAACCGAACAGCTTTAAATAAAGAATAATAGAGGTATAATTTATTTATAATAGGTAATATAGTTTGAAATATCTAATAATCTATGGGTCCTCCTTTATTTTGAATAACCTTTTCAACACTTTTTGGCATTGAGTTGATTAGGTTTTTTGCACAGAGTTTTTCCCTAAATCTCATTTATATCCAAATTTATAATTATCAATAGAATACCTTAGGGTGAGTAAACTTTTTTACTCGGTGGTCGGAAAGGGGTCTTTATATTAGTAA